ATGTCAAAGACATCAGATCAATGATGTCAAAGACATAAGATCAATATTGTCAAAGTCATCCGATATAAAGTCCTACCTCAGACTGCTTCCACTTCTGTCCAGTACCAACCACGACAACAATGAGAGGCAGGTTCATTGTACACACCCCAAACCGAATCTCCATCATACAGGCATTGGACATCACATACTTCAACAAAATTACAAGGCATCAAACATCAAATACTTCAATACAATAACAAGGCATCAAACAGCATATACTTTAAAGTCAGTCTGGTTTAGTCACAGATTTTGTTATTTAGTTATAATGTAATTATCTAGAGTACGGCTATGTTGTATCCAGAAATTATTTACATGCAGTTATATTTGTACTGCTGTGATTTTCTAGAGTAATTAGTGATTTTCTGTAATAAAGTGTTATGCCTACCTCATCAGACACACAAGCCACCAGCACACGACTGTTCTGTAGACCCACAGCAATATCATGATAAAGGCCATCCTGAAACAGACCACAACTGTCATAGACTACTGTAGAAACCATCTATCTTTATAAGATAACTCAATTGTCACTCAATGTCACAATATTTAGGCTTCCTCAAGTTGTTTCCATCTTGCTTTTAAAAGTAAGATGGACATACCTTTCCAAATATATAAAACAACTGTAGCCATTAAATGAACAGCAAGAAGCACAAACATCTTGTTTTCGATAACAGGTTCATTTTGCGTATATACACATGCTAGATGTATTTGTAGTGACACTAAAGTTGTACTATACAAGACAGCAAGGATATAGACATTCAGATCCCCCGCCAAGGGAGCTTTAGAAAAGTTTTAGAAAGTGAGTTTGTCCTTCAGTTTTACTGCAATTCATCTTCATCTAAATTTCAGACCTCAAGCTTTATCTCTGACTTGTGTGTGAGGGAATAAGACTTTGGACAAAGTTTCCATGGTAACAGAAAAAATACAGTAAATGAAAACTGTTGCATACCAAATAGCAAAAGGCAACGCCAGACTACTAGATCAATATATGTTAACATTTTGCGAGGTTCTTTTTGACCATTTTGGAGTTATACTGCCTGAGAAACGGACAGACCTAGCTGATGATTTGTAGCATCAATAACATGTAAATACGTCACTCAAAGTGCTTTTCTACAGCAAACCTCTTAAACATTTACCTTGCTCATTTGTTCGTGGTCGATCCAGCACTTGATGCCTTTTTTCTCCAGGAAGTCCTTGATGTCGCGAGGGTCTCCCCACCCTACGGAGCCTGGACGTTCTTTTGTACCTTGCTTCACTGCTTGAAGAGAGTTTACCCAGGTGTAGCTGATGAAACAGGCAGGGTGTTCCAGGGCATTCTACAATCAGAACATTCAGACTTAAACAGCAAATATAAACAAGCACAGTGCCAGGAATAGTTTTATTATTTTGTTTTTATTTTTGTTTATAATTCTTGTAAATATTAGAGTTGTACATTATAGGGTTCACAGTCTGTCATATGTAACTTCTACTTTGTTGATGTCTTGTTATGTTTTCTGTACTTGAGATGTGACGTAGAAAGAAATGTGTATACAAAGCAAAGTAGTCCATTTAATGGAAAAAGGACAACTGTGAATTTGCACACATCATGATGTTGGGAGGGAGGGAGTGTTCAGCAGTTATCATTCCTGTATAGTTAGAACTGTCAGGACCAGACATAGCTTACAGAGACTGGTTATAAGGTGTTAGGGTATTACAGCATGACCTAAGCCTTATGATCCTTGAAAAAGTTAGTTTATATTCAACCATTTTGTCTCATTTGGCTAGAGTCTTTATTTTCTAAGGTGATTAAATTGTGTTACTGACCATGTGGTGTCTATATCAGGTCACATCAGACTTCTCTCAGGTGATTAAACTGTGTTACTGACCATGTGGGGTCTATATCAGGTCACACCAAACTTTGTTTCGGGTGATTAAATTGTGGTACCATCCATGTGGGGTCTATATCAGGTCACACCAAACTTTGTTTCAGGTGCTTAAATTGTGGTACCAGCCATGTGGTCTCTATATCAGGTCACATCAGACTTTGTCTCGGATGATTAAATTGTGTTACTGACCATGTGGTTTCTATATCAGGTCACATCAGACTTTGTCTCAGGCGATTAAATTGTGTTACTGACCATATGGGGTCTATATCAGGTCACATCAGACTTTGTCTCGGATGATTAAATTGTGTTACTGACCATGTGGGGTCTATATCAGGTCACACCAAACTTTGTTTCAGGTGATTAAATTGTGGTACCAGCCATGTGGTGTCTATATCAGGTCACATCAGACTTTGTCTCGGGTGATTAAATTGTGTTACTGACCATGTGGGGTCTATATCAGGTCACATCAGACTTTGTCTCAGGTGATTAAATTGTGTTACTGACCATATGGGGTCTATATCAGGTCACATCAGACTTCGTCTCAGGTGATTAAATTGTGTTACTGACCATGTGGGGTCTATATCAGGTCACATCAGACTTTGTCTCAGGTGATTAAATTGTGTTACTGACCATGTGGGGTCTATATCAGGTCACATCAGACTTTGTCTCAGGTGATTAAATTGTGTTACTGACCATGTGGGGTCTATATCAGGTCACATCAGACTTTGTCTCAGGTGATTAAATTGTGTTACTGACCATGTGGGGTCTATATCAGGTCACATCAGACTTTGTCTCAGGTGATTAAATTGTGTTACTGACCATGTGGGGTCTATATCAGGTCACATCAGACTTTGTCTCAGGTGATTAAATTGTGTTACTGACCATGTGGGGTCTATATCAGGTCACATCAGACTTTGTCTCAGGTGATTAAATTGTGTTACTGACCATGTGGGGTCTATATCAGGTCACATCAGACTTTGTCTCAGGTGATTAAATTGTGTTACTGACCATGTGGGGTCTATATCAGGTCACATCAGACTTTGTCTCAGGTGATTAAATTGTGTTACTGACCATGTGGGGTCTATATCAGGTCACATCAGACTTTGTCTCAGGTGATTAAATTGTGTTACTGACCATGTGGGGTCTATATCAGGTCACATCAGACTTTGTCTCAGGTGATTAAATTGTGTTACTGACCATGTGGGGTCTATATCAGGTCACATCAGACTTTGTCTCAGGTGATTAAATTGTGTTACTGACCATGTGGGGTCTATATCAGGTCACATCAGACTTTGTCTCAGGTGATTAAATTGTGTTACTGACCATGTGGGGTCTATATCAGGTCACATCAGACTTTGTCTCAGGTGATTAAATTGTGTTACTGACCATGTGGGGTCTATATCAGGTCACATCAGACTTTGTCTCAGGTGATTAAATTGTGTTACTGACCATGTGGGGTCTATATCAGGTCACATCAGACTTTGTCTCAGGTGATTAAATTGTGTTACTGACCATGTGGGGTCTATATCAGGTCACATCAGACTTTGTCTCAGGTGATTAAATTGTGTTACTGACCATGTGGGGTCTATATCAGGTCACATCAGACTTTGTCTCAGGTGATTAAATTGTGTTACTGACCATGTGGGGTCTATATCAGGTCACATCAGACTTTGTCTCAGGTGATTAAATTGTGTTACTGACCATGTGGGGTCTATATCAGGTCACATCAGACTTTGTCTCAGGTGATTAAATTGTGTTACTGACCATGTGGGGTCTATATCAGGTCACATCAGACTTTGTCTCAGGTGATTAAATTGTGTTACTGACCATGTGGGGTCTATATCAGGTCACATCAGACTTTGTCTCAGGTGATTAAATTGTGTTACTGACCATGTGGGGTCTATATCAGGTCACATCAGACTTTGTCTCAGGTGATTAAATTGTGTTACTGACCATGTGGGGTCTATATCAGGTCACATCAGACTTTGTCTCAGGTGATTAAATTGTGTTACTGACCATGTGGGGTCTATATCAGGTCACATCAGACTTTGTCTCAGGTGATTAAATTGTGTTACTGACCATGTGGGGTCTATATCAGGTCACATCAGACTTTGTCTCAGGTGATTAAATTGTGTTACTGACCATGTGGGGTCTATATCAGGTCACATCAGACTTTGTCTCAGGTGATTAAATTGTGTTACTGACCATGTGGGGTCTATATCAGGTCACATCAGACTTTGTCTCAGGTGATTAAATTGTGTTACTGACCATGTGGGGTCTATATCAGGTCACATCAGACTTTGTCTCAGGTGATTAAATTGTGTTACTGACCATGTGGGGTCTATATCAGGTCACATCAGACTTTGTCTCAGGTGATTAAATTGTGTTACTGACCATGTGGGGTCTATATCAGGTCACATCAGACTTTGTCTCAGGTGATTAAATTGTGTTACTGACCATGTGGGGTCTATATCAGGTCACATCAGACTTTGTCTCAGGTGATTAAATTGTGTTACTGACCATGTGGTGTCTATATCAGGTTACATCAGACTTTGTCTCAGGTGATTAAATTGTGTTACTGGCCATGTGGTGTCTATATCAGGTTACATCAGACTTTGTCTCAGGTGATTAAATTGTGTTACTGGCCATGTGGGGTCTATATCAGGTCACTCTGCCTCCTATTTACTTACATTATTAATTCCCTGTACAGTCTCCTGGACCATATCCACCAGGTCTGGGATCTTTTTATCGAAGCGTTCAGCAGTGCGTATCATGGCCATTCTCTATAAAAGATTAAACATTACCTAACATATCATATGGTTATGGTTATGTACAATCAGTTTTACTAATTAGAGCATACATACTTATTAGGGGAATTATTCCAAGCTTTAACGCTTTAGCCCAAGCCCTCTCCTGTCGTAAATTTTTACTGATATAGCAAACTGATTTAAGGTCACCTTGTGATCATAGCTCCCAGCATGGTTTACTTATATCATTACTATAGCCACTTTATCTCCACAGTAACAGTACTGAGTGACTGTACTTACCGGCTGTCCAATTTTCATGCCCAGGTCGGTTTTCTGCCAATCCGTACTCTCACCCACACAGGCGATGTGGAATGGTTTGCTAAGACCCTCCATCGCATACTGGAACATATTGCTGCAATTCTGGTCCCGCTCAAACTCATCAGACATGATACCGACCAGTACCTGTAGACACATAGGGGCAGTTTGTAGTAGTCCCTTACTTACATGTGATGTAGATCTATAGGAAATTATCTTCTATGGAATTACATAACCATCCAAATCCCTCAAATGTAAGAATCAAGAAAAATATAATATCAGTGATTTACCTTCAAAAAATCAAATTAACTGGCGCTTCCTCCTTACTTACATAACAATGTTACAATGAGCGCGATATTTAACATAAGAAATGCCCATTTCAAATTTATGTTGATGGAACCGAACCACCTTATTACCTTGCAGTTTTTCAGAGCCATCATCATGTCATTCATTTTGGTGCCAGCTTCCATGTCTGGGTACCAGCTAAAATAAGTTAAACATCTCATGTTAGATTAATGTGGAAAACAACAATTATTATACACAATATAGAAAAAGTGTAAAAAATACAACAGAAATATGAAAAAACAAGGTCTTAGAAAGTTTTGACAGAACAGTACATGTGTCAATGATTTAAATGGAATGGTGTACATGCTCAATTAAGTAGTTGATTTGGCTTCCAGTTGTACTTGTAGGATCACATAAGTAGGTGTTAGCTGACATTACCAGGACAACCCAGACTCCTCCAGATGCTGTCTGATCTTGGCAGGATCCACTTTTGAGGTGTCTATTTTGGGAAGGTCTGCCTTGCAGTAGAGGATGGCCACATCATTTTCCATGTTCCTGTTGAGTGACTGCAATGCACTTATACTGTGTTGTAGGTGGATGTCAAAGTCCGAGTCTTGTTCCTCAGGCATCATCTCTGTAGACAACAAGTACAGAGATGTGTTTAAGTAGGTCAACACAAATACAGAGATGTGTTAAAGTAGGTCAACACAAATACAGAAATGTGTTAAAGTAGGTCAACACAAATACAGAGATGTGTTAGGGTAAGTCAACACAAATACAGAGATTTGTTAAAGTTTGTCAATACAAATGTGTTAAAGTAGGTCAACACAAATAGACACAGATGTGAAAGTAGGTCAACACTTTATATTGATGTGTTTAAGTAGGTCAACAAAAATACAGAAATGTGTTAGGATAAGTCAACACAAATACAGGAATGTGTTATGGTAAGTCAACACAAATACAGAAATGTGCTAAGGTAAGTCAACACAAATACAGAAATGTGTTAAAGTAGTTCAACACAAAGGTGTTAAAGTAGGTCAACACAAATACAGAGATGTGTTAAAGTAGTTCAATAAAAAACAGATGTGTTAAAGTAGGTCAACAAAAATACAGAGATGTGTTAAAGTAGGTCAAAACAAATACAAAAATGTGTTAAAGTAGGTCAACACAAATGTGTTAAAGTAGGTCAACACAAATACAGAAATGTGTTAAAGTAGGTCAACACAAATACAGGGACATGTAAAAGTAGATCAAGACAAATTCAGGGATTATGTAAAAAGTAGATCAACACTTTATATTGATGTGTTTAAGTAGGGCAACACAAAATGATAAAATGTCAACGTTAGGAAACAAATACAGAAAGTCTTACCAAGTAGCTGGCCCATTGACACAGTGTGGAAGTATTTTGTACACTGCAGAAATGGAGCTTTGAGGTCTCCTGCCCGCCGGATTAACTCCCCTTTAAACAGGCATGGCTCTCTTGTTCCCTGTTAGCACAAACATGTCAGTGTTATTGACAATCATCCTTCACAAGTAAGTTTTGTTACAACCACACACGGCAACATGGATATACCTAGATAATTATGATGTTGTTTGTATTATCATATTTGTCACTATTGTAACAATGCTATATATATACTAGTGAATTAATGTGATAACTTTTATTGAAAATTTCCAAATTTACTAAATTTGTCAAAGGAACAATTGTCAGAAACAGATATAATGAATTTGTCATTTTGACTTTTCACGTCTCATGAGATCAGAAAAAGTTCTATATCATTCAATGTTTTTGTTTTTATTAATAATAGAGAGATATTTGTGGAAAAAAACTTGTTGATACAGACTTTCACAAATGAGAGTAAGATCTGTTTATAACAAACCTCTTTGCTGATACGCACAGTTTATATCAATAAGATCTGGTTGTGATGACAGTTTATATCAATAAGATCTGTTTGTGATGACAGTTTATATCAATAAGATCTGTTTGTGATGACAGTTTATATCAATAAGATCTGTTTGTGATGACAGTTTATATCAATAAGATCTGTTTGTGATGACAGTTTATATCAATAAGATCTGTTTGTGATGACAGTTTATATCAATAAGATCTGTTTGTGATGACAGTTTATATCAATAAGATCTGTTTGTGATGACAGTTTATATCAATAAGATCTGGTTGTGATTACATTTTATATCAATAAGATCTGTTTGTGTTGACAGTTTATATCTATAAGATCTGTTTGTGTTGAGAGTTTATATCAAAAAGATCTGTTTGTGATGACAGTTTATATCAATAAGATCTGTTTGTGATGACAGTTTATATCAATTAGATCTGTTTGTGATGACAGTTTATATCAATAAGATCTGTTTGTGATGACAGTTTATATCAATAAGATCTGTTTGAAACGACAGTTTATATCTATAAGATCTGTTTGTGACGACAGTTTATATCAATAAGATCTGTTTGTGACGACAGTTTATATCTATAAGATCTGGTTGTGATGACAGTTTATATCAATAAGATCTGTTTGTGATGACAGTTTATATCAATAAGATCTGGTTGTGTTGACAGTTTATAAATACACACACATACACTACACGCATGCATCTTGCACAAAGGGGAGGCCGTCCTTAAATGACCTTAGCTGTTAATAGGACGTTAAACAAAATCAAACAAACAAACAAACAAACTATATCAAAAAGATCTGTTTGTGATGACAGTTTATATCAATAAGATCTGTTTGTGATGACAGTTTATATCAATAAGATCTGGTTGTGTTGACAGTTTATAAATACACACACATACACTACACGCATGCATCTTGCACAAAGGGGAGGCCGTCCTTAAATGACCTTAGCTGTTAATAGGACGTTAAACAAAATCAAACAAACAAACAAACAAACTATATCAAAAAGATCTGTTTGTGATGACAGTTTATATCAATAAGATCTGTTTGTGATGACAGTTTATATCTATAAGATCTGGTTGTGATGACAGTTTATATCAATAAGATCTGTTTGTGTTGACAGTTTATATCAATAAGATCTGTTTGTGACAATAGTATATATCTATAAGATCTGGTTGTGACAATAGTTTATATCTATAAGATCTGGTTGTGATGACAGTTTATATCAATAAGATCTGGTTGTGATGACAGTTTATATCAAAAAGATCTGTTTGTGATGACAGTTTATATCTATAAGATCTGTTTGTGACAATAGTTTATATCAATTAGATCTGTTTGTGACAACATTTTTTTTGCTTTTACTGCAAAACCTAAATATTGTGCTGACGATCTTAAAAGTTCATGTGCTGTCTCTTGACCTCCTCCCAATACCTTCTATATAATTATACATGTATCTGTCAAGTGATTATATCTATCTCCATGCTGTGAAGCTCTGTTTGCCTAATGTCTCATCAATTTTCCAACAAAATAACACCAAAACATTTGTGATTGGCGAAAAATTGGCTCACTTTTTAGGAAGTGGCGTGACAGTTTATATCAATAAGATCTGGTTGTGACGACAGTTTATATCTATAAGATCTGTTTGTGACCACAGTTTATATCCATGAGATCTGGTTGTTACAAACCTCTTTGCTGATACGTTTAGTTTACATCTATACGATCTGGTTGTTACAAACCTCTTTGTTGATACGTATAGTTTACATCTATACGATCTGGTTGTTACAAACCTCTTTGCTGATATAGTTTATATTAATAAGATCTGGATGTTACAAACCACTTTGCTGATACGTATAGTTTATACTAATAAGATCTGGTTGCTACAAACCTCTTTGCTGATACAGTTTACATCTATAAGATCTGGTGGTTACCTCTTTGCTGATACAGTTTATATCTATAAGATCTGGTGGTTACCTCTTTGCTGATACAGTTTACATCTATAAGATCTGGTGGTAATTACCTCTTTGCTGATACAGTTTACATCTATAAGATCTGGTGGTTACCTCTTTGCTGATACAGTTTACATCTATAAGATCTGGTGGTTACCTCTTTGCTGATACAGTTTATATCTATAAGATCTGGTGGTTACCTCTTTGCTGATACAGTTTACATCTATAAGATCTGGTGGTAATTACCTCTTTGCTGATACAGTTTACATCTATAAGATCTGGTGGTTACCTCTTTGCTGATACAGTCGGGACAGGGGATGAAGAAGTCGTACATAACTCCATGGAAGGACTCCTCGATGAGACTCTCGAACACCTCATGAATCAACAGCAAAATGTTTTCTGGCTGTGGACCCTGTACCAGTACCACCAGCTCGGAGTCACTATGGATAAACACACATTATCATAGTACGATGGAAAAACTACAATTAATACAACTGTCACAACATGCCGTACTGCGAGTCCGTCATCTTTCCGTCCGTTGTCTGTCTGTCAACTTTTTCTTTTGAACGACTTCTTCTGAGGAACTGGTGGACCTAGGATCACAACATTTGACAAGAAGGTGGATGGGAAAAGGTGCTATAAAGTTTCCACATTAAAATGACCTTGAACTACTTTCAAGGTCACAGGGGTCAAATTTGTTAAAAACTTCAAACAACAATATTTAAAGGACAATTTGGTCTAAAGTGAGCTATATCCCTGTAGTATTGAGGATGAAGTGAGCTAGTGTAACCCATGTAGTATCAAGGATGAAGTGAGCTAGTGTCACCCCTGTAGTATCAAGGATGAAGTGAGCTAGTGTTATCCCTGTAGTATTGAGGATGAAGCGAGCTAGTGTAACCCCTGTAGTATTGAGGATGAAGTGAGCTAGTGTAACCCCTGTAGTATTGAGGATGAAGTGAGCTAGTGTTACCCCTGTAGTATCGAGGATGAAGTGAGCTAGTGTAACCCCTGTAATATCGAGGAATAAGCGAGCTAGTGTAACCCCTGTAGTATTGAGGATGAAGTGAGCTAGTGTAACCCCTGTAGTATTGAGGATGAAGTGAGCTAGTGTAACCCCTGTAGTATTGAGGATGAAGTGAGCTAGTGTAACCCCTGTAGTATTGAGGATGAAGTGAGCTAGTGTAACCCCTGTAGTATTGAGGATGAAGTGAGCTAGTGTTACCCCTGTAGTATCGAGGATGAAGTGAGTTTGTGTTACCCCTGTAGTATCAAGGATTAAGTGAGCTAGTGTTACCCCTGTAGTATCAAGGATTAAGTGAGCTAGTGTAACCCCTGTAGTATTGAGGATGAAGTGAGCTAGTGTTACCCCTGTAGTATCAAGGATGAAGTGAGCTAGTGTTACCCCTGTAGTATCGAGGATGAAGTGAGTTTGTGTTACCCCTGTAGTATCAAGGATTAAGTGAGCTAGTGTTACCCCTGTAGTATCAAGGATTAAGTGAGCTAGTGTAACCCCTATAGTATCAAGGATGAAGTGACCTTGTGTTACCCCTGGAGTAGTGAGGAAGAAGTGAGCTAGTGTTACCCCTGTAGTATCGAGGATGAAGTGACCTTGTGTAACCCCTGTAGTATGGAGGATAAAGTGACCTTGTGTAACCCCTGTAGTATCAAGGATGAAGTGAGCTAGTGTAACCCCTATAGTATCAAGGATGAAGTGACCTTGTGTTACCCCTGGAGTATGGAGGATGAAGTGAGCTAGTGTTACCCCTGTAGTATCGAGGATGAAGTGAGCTAGTGTAACCCCTGTAGTATCAAGGGTGAAGTGAGCTAGTGTAACCCCTGTAGTATCAAGGATGAAGTGAGCTAGTGTTACCCCTGTAGTATCAAGGATTAAGTGAGCTAGTGTAACCCCTGTAGTATCAAGGATGAAGTGACCTAGTGTAACCCCTGTAGTATCAAGGGTGAAGTGAGCTAGTGTAACCCCTGGAGTATCGAGGACGAAGTGAGCTAGTGTTACCCCTGTAGTATCAAGGGTGAAGTGAGCTAGTGTTACCCCTGTAGTATCAAGGATTAAGTGAGCTAGTGTAACCCCTATAGTATCAAGGATGAAGTGACCTTGTGTTACCCCTGTAGTATCGAGGATGAAGTGGGCTAGTGTTACCCCTGTAGTATCGAGGATGAAGTGAGCTAGTGTTACTCCTGTAGTATCGAGGATGAAGTGAGCTAGTGTAACCCCTGTAGTATCGAGGATGAAGTGAGTTTATGTTACTGTTGTAGTATCGAGGATGAAGTGAGCTAGTGTAACCCCTGTAGTATTGAGGATGAAGTGAGCTAGTGTTACCCCTGTAGTATCGAGGATGAAGGGAGCTAGTGTAACCACTGTAGTATCAAGGAGGAAGTGAGTTTATGTTACCCCTGTAGTTTCGAGGATGAAGTGAGCTAGTGTAACCCCTGGAGTATCGAGGACGAAGTGAGCTAGTGTTACCCCTGTAGTATCAAGGATGAAGTGAGCTAGTGTTACCCCTGTAGTATCAAGGATTAAGTGAGATCAAGGATGAAGTGACCTTGTGTTACCCCTGTAGTATCGAGGAGGAAGTGGGCTAGTGTTACCCCTGTAGTATCGAGGATGAAGGGAGCTAGTGTAACCCCTGTAGTATCAAGGATGAAGTGAGTTTATGTTACTGTTGTAGTATCGAGGATGAAGTGAGCTAGTGTAACCCCTGTAGTATCAAGGATGAAGTGAGTTTATGTTACCCCTGTAGTTTCGAGGATGAAGTGAGCTAGTGTAACCCCTGTAGTATCGATGATGAAGTGACCTTGTGTAACCCCTGTAGTATCGAGGATGAAGTGAGCTAGTGTAACCCCTGTAGTATCAAGGGTTTAGTGAGTTTATGTTACCCCTGTAGTATCGAGGATGAAGTGAGCTAGTGTAACCCCTGTAGTATCGAGGATTAAGTGAGCTAGTGTTACCCCTGTAGTTTCGAGGATAAAGTGGGCTAGTGTTACCCCTGTATTATCGAGGATGAAGTGAGTTTATGTTACCCCTGTAGTATGGAGGATGAAGTGAGCTAGAGTAACCCCTGTAGTTTCGAGGATAAAGTGAGCTAGTGTTACCCCTGTATTATCGAGGATGAAGTGAGTTTATGTTACCCCAGTAGTATCAAGGATTAAGTGAGCTAGTGTTACCCCTGTAGTATTGAGGATGAAATGACCCTCTGTTACCCCTGATGTATCTAAGATGAAGTGAGCTAATGTAAACCCTGGAGTATTGAGGATGATATTGGCTGGTCTCCTTCATGTTGTTAATATAAGGCAAACACATTGGCTGAATAAGGTAACTTACTTTTCCTGTCGTATCAAGGCTAAATGTCTGTTTTTGTTCAGCATGGAGCCTTTCTTCCAGATAATTTTTCCATCAGAGAACTGAAACAACCTCACCTAAAGTGAGAATATTTCAACATTAACAAGCAACAAACAGAATTTCTAAAAACACTTCGTTAGTTTTATAAAAATAATTCTCTTGAAAATCAATGATAAAAGTGATCAGCTCTGCTGAGTTTTTCTGTTGGGACATGATTGAGATCAAACTGTCTCCACTTGTATGAAACACACAAAACATTCGGGAGCTCAAGACTTGAGATGTGTAATACTGTGTAATACTGTGTAATGTAATCAGTTCTATCAGTTTGGCAAGTATTTTGAGCTAAAAATAGGAAGCGTTAGTTCTGTTGAGTTATATAACCAGTCATCAGTTCTCCCATTATTGATGAGTCATATGTTTTATTTATTGATGACAGTTGTCCGTATTAATTCATATTCTCTGTTGTAGTGATGTCATGGTCTATACCTGTGATTTGTTTTAGTAACGTCATGTTTTTTTAGCTGTGATTTGTTGTAGTGATATCATGGTTTGACCTGTGCTCTGTTGTAGTGATGTCATGGTTTAACCTGTGATCTGTTGTAGTGATGTCATGGTCTATACCTGTGATTTGTTTTAGTAACGTCATGTTTTTTTAGCTGTGATTAGTTGTAGTGATATCATGGTTTATACCTGTGCTCTGTTGTAGTGATATCATGGTTTATACCTGTGATCTGTTGTAGTGATGTCAAGGTTATTACCTGTGATCTGGTGTAGTGATGACATGGTTTTTACCTGTGATCTGGTGTAGTGATGACATGGTTTTTACCTGTGATCTGGTGTAGTGATGACATGGTTTTTACCTGTGCTCTGTAGTAGTGTTATCATGGTTTAAACCTGTGATCTGTTGTAGTGATGTCATGGTTTTTACCTGTGATCTGTTGTAGTGATGTCATGGTTTATTCCTGTGATCTGTTGTAGTGATGTCATTGTTTATACCTGTGATCTTTTGTAGTGATGTCATTGTTTATACCTGTGATCTTTTGTAGTGATGTCATTGTTTATACCTGTGATGTGTTGTAGTGATGTCATTGTTTATACCTGTGCTCTGTTGTAGTGATGTCAAGGTTTTTATCTGTGATCTGTTGTAGTGATGTCAAGGTTATTACCTGTGATCTCGTGTAGTGATGACATGGTTTTTACCTGTGATCTGTTGTAGTGATGTCATGGTTTATACCAGACGAGTTCTTTGTTTTTGCGATGTCATGGTTATTACCTGTGCTCTGTTGTAGTGATGTCATTGTTTATACCTGTGATGTGTTGTAGTGATGTCATTGTTTATACCTGTGATCTTTTGTAGTGATGTCATTGTTTATACCTGTGATCTTTTGTAGTGATGTCATTGTTTATACCTGTGATCTTTTGTAGTGATGTCATTGTTTATACCTGTGATCTTTTGTAGTGATGTCATTGTTTATACCTGTGATCTTTTGTAGTGATGTCATTGTTTATACCTGTGATCTTTTGTAGTGATGTCATTGTTTATACCTGTGCTCTGTTGTAGTGATGTCATGGTTTATACCAGACGAGTTCTTTGTTTTTGTGATGTCATGGTTATTACCTGTGCTCTGTTGTAGTGATGTCATGCTTTTTAAATGTACTTTGTTGTAGTGATATTATGGTTTATACCTGTGCTCTGTTGTAGTGTTGTCATGGTTTTTACCTATACTCTGTTGTAGTGATGTCAAGGTTTATACTTGTGCTCTGTTGTAGTGATGTCATGTTTTTACCTGTGCTTTGTTGAGGTGATGTCATGGTTTTTACCTGTGCTCTGTTGTAGTGATGTCATGGTTTTGACCTGTGCTCTGTTGTAGTGATGTCATTGTTTATACCTGTGCTCTGTTGTAGTGATGTCAAGGTTTTTACCTGTACTCTGTCGTAGTGATGTCATGGTTTATACCTGTGTTCTGTTGTAGTGATGTCATAATTTTTACCAATGCTCTGTTGTTGTGATGTCAAGGTTTATAGTTGTGCTCTGTTGTAGTGTTGTCATGGTTTTTACCTGTACTCTGTTGTAGTTATGTCAAGGTTTATACTTGGTTTTTACCTGTGCTATGTTGTAGTGATGTCATAATTTTTACCAATGCTCTGTTGTTGTGATGTCATGGTTTATACTAGACGAGTTCTTTGTTTTTGTGATGTCATGGTTATTGCCTGTGCTCTGTTGTAGTTATGTCATGGTTTATACCTGTTATCTGTTGTAGTGATGTCATTGTTTATACCTGAGATCTGTTGTAGTGATGTCAAGGTTTATACCTGTTCTATGTTGTAGTGATGTCATAATTTTTACCAATGCTCTGTTGTTGTGATGTCAAGGTTTATAGTTGTGCTCTGTTGTAGTGGTGTCATTGTTTATACCTGTGCTCTGTCGTAGTGATGTCAAGGTTTATACCTGTTCTATGTTGTAGTGATGTCATAATTTTTACCAATGCTCTGTTGTTGTGATGTCAAGGTTTATACCTGTTCTCTGTTGTAGTGATGCCATGGTTTATACCTGTGCTTATACCTGTGATCTGTTATAGTGATGTCATTGTTTATACCTGTGATCTGTTGTAGTGATGTCATGGTTTATACCAGACGAGTTCTTTGTTTTTGTGATGTCATGGTTATTACCTGTGCTCTGTTGTAGTGATATTATGGTTTATACCTGTGCTCTGTTGTAGTGTTGTCATGGTTTTTACCTATACTCTGTTGTAGTGATGTCAAGGTTTATACTTGTGCTCTGTTGTAGTGATGTCATGTTTTTACCTGTGCTTTGTTGAAGTGATGTCATGGTTTTGACCTGTGCTCTGTTGTAGTGATGTCATGGTTTTGACCTGTACTCTGTTGAAGTGATGTCATGGTATTTACCTGTGCTCTGTTGTAGTGATGTCATGGTTTATACCTGTGCTCTATTATAGTAATTTCATGGTCTTTACCTGTGATCTGTTGTAGTGATGTCATGGTTTATACCTGTGATCTGTTGTAGTGATGTCATTGTTTATACCTGTGCTCTGTTGTAGTGATGTCATGGTTTTGACCTGTACTCTGTTGAATTGATGTCATGGTATTTACCTGTGCTCTGTTGTAGTGATGTCACGGTTTATACCTGTGCTCTATTATAGTAATTTCATGGTCTTTACCTGTGATTTGTTGTAGTGATGTCATGGTTTATACCTGTGCTCTATTATAGTAATTTCATGGTCTTTACCTGTGCTCTGTTGTAGTGATGTCATGGTTTTGACCTGTACTCTGTTGAAGTTATGTCATGGTATTTACCTGTGCTCTGTTGTAGTGATGTCATGGTTTTGACCTGTACTCTGTTGAAGTGATTTCATGGTATTTACCTGTGCTCTGTTGTAGTGATGTCACGGTTTATACCTGTGCTCTATTATAGTAATTTCATGGTCTTTACCTGTGCTCTGTTGTAGTGATGTCATGGTTTTGACCTGTACTCTGTTGAAGTGATGTCATGGGATTTACCTGTGCTCTGTTGTAGTGATGTCATGGTTTAAACCTGTGATCTGTTGTAGTGATGTCATTGTTTTTACCTGTGATCTGTTGTAGTGATGTCATTGTTTTTACCTGTGCTCTGTTGTAGTGATGTCATGGTTTAAACCTGTGATCTGTTGTAGTGATGTCATTGTTTTTACCTGTGATCTGCTGTAGTAATGTCATTGTTTATACCTGTGCTCTGTTGTAGTGATGTCATGGTTTAAACCTGTGATCTGTTGTAGTGATGTCATTGTTTTTACCTGTGATCTGTTGTAGTGATGTCATTGTTTTTACCTGTGCTCTGTTGTAGTGATGTCATGGTTTAAACCTGTGATCTGTTGTAGTGATGTCATTGTTTTTACCTGTGATATGTTGTAGTGATGTCATTGTTTATACCTGTCCTCTGTTGTAGTGATGTCATTGTTTTTATCTGTGATCTGTTGCAGTGATGTCATGGTTTATACCTGTGCTCTGTTGTAGTGATGTCAAGGTTTTTACCTGTGATCTGTTGTAGTGATGTCATTGCTCTGTAGTTGTGTTATCATGGTTTATACCTGTGATCTGTTGTAGTGATGTCAAGGTTTATACCTGTGCTCTGTAGTAGTGTTATCATGGTTTATACCTGTGATCTGTTGTAGTGATGTCAAGGTTTTTACCTGTGATCTGTTTTAGTGATGTTAAGGTTTTTACCTGTGATCTGTTGGAGTGATGTCATGGTTTATACCTGTGATCTGTTGTAGTGATGTCAAGGTTTTTACCTGTGATCTGTTTTAGTGATGTTAAGGTTTTTACCTGTGATCTGTTGTAGTGATGTCAAGGTTTTTACCTGTGATCTGTTTTAGTGATGTTAAGGTTTTTACCTGTGATCTGTTGTAGTGGTGTCATGGTTTATACCTGTGATCTGTTGTAGTGATGTCAAGGTTTTTACCTGTGATCTGTTTTAGTGATGTTAAGGTTTATACCTGTGATCTGTTGTAGTGATGTCAAGGTTTTTACCTGTACTCTGTTGTAGTGATGTCATCGTTTATACCTGTGATCTGTTGTAGTGATGTCATGGTTTATTCCTGTGCTCTGTTGTAGTGATGTCAAGGTTTTTACCTGTGATCTGTTTTAGTGATGTTAAGGTTTTTACCTGTGTTCTGTTGTAGTGATGTCATGGTTTATACCTGTGCCCTGTTGTAGTGATGTCATGGTTTATACCTGTGCTTTGTTGTAGTGATGTCATGGTTTATACCTGTGCTTTGTTGTAGTGATGTCATGGTTTATACCTGTGCTCTATTATAGTAATTTCATGGTCTTTACCTGTGCTCTGTTGTAGTGATGTCATGGTTTAAACCTGTGATCTGTTGTAGTGATGTCATTGTTTTTACCTGTGCTCTGTTGTAGTGATGTCATTGTTTATACCTGTGCTCTGTTGTAGTGATGTCATGGTTTATACCTGTGCTTTGTTAATTTGATGTCATTGTTTCACCTATGCTCTGCTGAAGTAATGGTTTTTACCTGTGCTCTATTGAAGAGTCCCGCGGGAAGGTAGGAGAATTTGTAGACCAGCTTGTTTTCCCTGATTCCACTGTTCTGTACCAAGTCTGGCCAGCTTAGCTGTAAATAAATCACAATCAATAAACTGTATTTCAAATATAAATATAAGCAAACTGTCGACAGACCATTATACTGACTTTGACAGAGAAAGTAAGTATATAACAAGAACATTATACTGACTTTGATAGAGAAAGTAAGTATATAACAAGAACCTTATACTGACTTTGACAGAGAAAGTAAGTACAGTCGAACCTCGTTATCTCGAACTCGTTTAACTCGAAGACCCCGTTTAACTCGAAGTGTTTCATCGGTCCCGGCCTACACTGTTCTTAATCTTAGTAATAAAAACTCTGATAGTTCGAACTCTGAAAACTCGAATAACTCGGATATCTCGAAGTGAAATATCGGTCCCAACAACGTAAATCCTACATAAAAATATCGCTTACCTCGAAGTTTCTTAAGATTCACAAGTCGATCATATATTCTTTAATTATTTGATACATATTAGACGCAGTGCTACGGTAAACATCGTTCTCATAGAGCAGCTTACGCTCGGTCATAATT